AACGTTTTTCATGTACACTCAAAGAGCCCTCTAAAGAATTTCTTTTAGAACCTTAGTGTAAACAAATTTGAAGTGGTTTACCGCGAGAGGAAAATCACTGTAGAATGTTGGTGTACACTACTAGCATTTTGTAGAATTTTCATAATTTTTTTAGAAATTTCTAGAATTTGTTAGATATTTTAGAATTTGTTTAGTTTTTTCGAATTTTTTTTAATTTTCTAGATTTTTTTACAATTTTTTAGATAGTTTAGAATGTTTATAGAATTTTCTAGAGTTTTTAGATATTTGATTTTTTTAGAATTTGTCAGCTATTTAAAAATTTTTTTTTATAATTTTCCAAAATTTTTGAGAACCTTTTAGGTATTCTAGATTTTTTTTAGATATTTTAGAATTTCCTAGAATTTTTCAGAAATGTTAAAATTTTTTTAAATAATTTTCCAAAATTTTTTTAATGTCAGATTTTTTTGAATTTTTCACATATTTTAATTTGTTTTTTATAATTTTTCAGAATTCTTTAGAATTTTCTAGAATTATTTAGAATTTTCTAGAATTATTTAGGTATTGCAGATTTTTTAGATATTTAAGAATTTTTTTAATTTCCTAAAAATTTTCTAGAATTTTTTAGATATTTCAGATTTTTTTTAGAATTTTTTTAGAATTTCCCAGAATTTTTCTTAAAATGTTTCTTGAATTTTTTATATATTAATTTGTATTTAATATTTCAGATATTTTAATATTTTTTATAATTTTCCGGCATTTTTTAGGTATTTCAGAATTTTTTAGAATTTCCTAAAATTTCTTAGATATTTCAGATTTTTTTAGAATTTTTTAAAATTTTGTAGATATTTTTAGATATTTCAACGTAAATACTTTAACCTTTAAACACAATGGTGTCATTTTACAACAGTGTCACAATTTTTATATCACCATTTTCTAAATTAGTCTGCATAGTATGAAGGAAATGGTGTCTTGATTTAGCTTTGCTGATTTTGTAAGCTCAGACAAAGTAGAGATGAGTCGTGGTGTAGTACTGTAGAATTTTGGAGCACCCTACTAGCATTTTGTAGAATTTTTTTAGACTTCTCTAGAATTTTTTAAGATATTTTAGACTTTTTTGTTAGATATTTTAGAATTGATTTAGAATTTTCTAGAATTTTTTAAAACTCTGGAATTTTATAGACATATAAGAATAGATTATTTTTCTAAATTTTTTTTGGAATTTTCTAGAATTGTTTAGATATTTCAGATTTTTAAAAGAATTTTTCAGATATTTAAAAAAAAATTATAATTTTAGATATTTTAGAAATGTCTTTAATTTTCTGAAATTTTTTAGAATTTTAGTGTATACAAATTTGATGTGGTATACTCCGAAGGGAAAATCACTGTAGAATTTTGGTGTACAGTACTAGCATTTTGTATAATTTTCCAGAATGTTTCTAAAATTTTTTAGAAATTCTAGAATTTTGGAGATATGATTGGACTTTTTTTTTAATATTTTTTTGGAATTAATTTAGAATTTTTTAAAACTTCCTCGAATTTTTTAGACCAAATTTTTTAAAATTATTTTGACTTTTTCTAAATTTTTTTAGAATTTCCTAAAAATTTTTGATTTCAAATTTTTTTAGAATTTTTTAGGTATTTCAGAATTTTTTTTAGATATTTTAGAATTTGTTTTAATTTTCTGGAATTTTTTAGAATTTTAGTGTATACAAATTGAAGTGGTTCACCCCGAAGGGAAAATCACTGTAGAATTTTGGTGTACACTACTAGCATTTTGTAGAATTTTCCAAAATTTTTTTGATATGATTAGACTTTTTTGATATTTTAGAATTAATTTAGAATTTTCTAAAACTTCCTTGAATTTTTTAGAGATTTTTTTAATTTTTTGGAATTTTTCTAAATTTTTTTTTGATATTTCAGATTTTTTTTAGAATTTTTCTAGAATTTTTTAGGTATTTCAGAATTTATTTAGACATTTTAGAATTTGTTTTAATTTTCTGGAATTTTTTAGAATCTTAGTGTATACAAATTGAAGTGGTTCACCCCGAAGGGAAAATCACTGTAGAATTTTGGTGTACACTACTAGCATTTTGTAGAATTTTCCAAAATTTTTTTGATATGATTAGACTTTTTTGATATTTTAGAATTAATTTAGAATTTTCTAAAACTTCCTTGAATTTTTTAGAGATTTTTTTAATTTTTTGGAATTTTTCTAAATTTTTTTTTGATATTTCAGATTTTTTTTAGAATTTTTCTAGAATTTTTTAGGTATTTCAGAATTTATTTAGACATTTTAGAATTTGTTTTAATTTTCTGGAATTTTTTAGAATCTTAGTGTATACAAATTGAAGTGGTTCACCCCGAAGGGAAAATCACTGTAGAATTTTGGTGTACACTACTAGCATTTTGTAGAATGTTCCAGAATGTTTCTAAATTTTTTTAGAAATTCTAGGATTTTTTAGATATTAGACTTTTTTTTAGATATTTTTTGGAATTAATTTAAAATTTTTTAAAATGCCCTTGAATTTTTTGATCAGATTTTTAAAAAAAATTTTAGAATTTCTAAAAATTTGTTTGATATTTCAGTTTTTTTAGAATTTTTTTTAATTTTCTGGAATTTTAGTGTATACAAATTTGAAGTGGTTTACTCCGAAGGGAAAATCACTGTAGAATTTTGGTGTACACTACTAGCATTTTGCAGAATTTTCCAGAATTTTTTTGATACTTTTTTTTTACAATTTCCTAAAAATGTTTTGATATTTCAGATTTTTTTAAGAATTTCTCTAGAATTTTTTAGTTTTTTAGAATATTAGTGGACACAAATTTGAAGTGGTTTATCACGAGGGAAAAATAACCTTAGAATTTTGGGGTACATAAACTAGCACTTTTTAGAATTTTCCAAAATTGTTCTAGAATTTTCTAGAATTTTTCAAAATTAGTTTAAGGTTTTTCTCGAATTTTTTTGATATTTCAGATTTTTTTAAATTTTTCTAGAATTGTAAATATTTTGGAATTTTTTAGAATTTTACAGAATTTTTTGGATTTTGTTAAAAATTGTTTAGTTTTTTAGAATTATAGTGGACACAAATTTGAAGTGGTTTACCGCAAGGGAAAAATCACTGTAGAATTTGAGTGTACACTACTAGCATATTTGTAGAATTTTCCAGAATTTTTCTACCATTTTTCCATTTCTTTCTATTTTAGATTTTTTAAATTTAATTAAAATTTTCAAGAATTTTTTAAAATGTTTCTAGAATTTTTCAGACAATTCAGATTTTTTTTTAGATATTTTAAAATTTTTTTATAATTTTTCAGAATTTCTTATAATTTTCTAGAATTTAGGAAGTATTTCAGATTTTTTATATTTTAAAATTTCTTAGAAATTTTCTAGTTAAAACTTCAAAATTTTTTTTAGAAATTTCTAGAATTGTAGATATTTCAGATTTTTGTTAGAATTTTTAGATATTTTAAAAATTTGTTTATAATTTTCCATAATTTGTTTTCAATTTTCTAGAATTCTTTAGACAATTCAGATTTTTTTAGAATTCTAGTTTTTGAGGTATTTAAAAAAAGTTTTTATAATTTTCCAGAATTTGTTTAAATTTTTTAGAATTGTTTAGGTATTTCAGATTTTTCTTAGGTATTTTAGAATTTCCCAGAATTTCTTAGAATTTTATTTTTTAGGTATCTTAGATTTTTTGTAGATATTTTAGAATTTGTTTTAATTTTCTGGAATTCTTTAGAATTTTAATGTATACAAATATGAAGTGGTTCACCCCGTAGGGAAAATCACTGTAGAGTTTTGGTGTATACTACTAGCATTTTGTAGAATTTTCCAGATTTTTTTTGGATATTTTAGAATTTAGAATTTTTTAAAACTTCCTTGAATTTTTTAGATTTTTTAAAAAATTTTTCGAATTTTTTTATTTTGTTGATATTTCAGATTTTTTTTAGAATTTCCTAGAATTGTTTAGATATTTCAACGTAGATGATTTAGCTTTGCTGATATTGTAAGGTCAGTCAAAGTAGAGATGGGTCGGGGTGATTGATCAGGGATTTCTTCTACAACTAGTCAACAAAGCAAAAATGAGCAAGGTATACTAAGAGATCCTTGCTCTATTCTTGATGAAGGTAAAAGGGCAAAGAAATTGAATGGATTGTACATAAACAACAACTGTAGTCAAAGAATAACTGAAATCGATGGCAATTTAATGCAAAAATATAAACTATAACAAACGGTTTCCAAATGTTACAAATAGAAGGTACACCAGCGTTATCTCACGGAGTTTCAACGAAATAAAATATTACCTTTGGATCCTGGCCACGATCGTCTGAACTCAGAAGGGTGCTGTCTGCAATCAGATGAAAACACAAAACAAAAGTGGGACATACAAAGTGCGAGAAAAATGTAACGTTTGTCACGTTGAGTAACTCGAATACTAAAATTGCGGTTTCAATCTCTCCCAAGAATCATAGTAAATGAATCAATTTGTACAAGACTATTTTAATATAATCAGTTTTTGTACATCGTAACCAACGAATTACTAACAACAGTCATGTAACGCTCCCACTTTTGTCTCAAATCAGCTTCCCTAAAACAAAAACGATTAGTACAAAATCTTCGTTTGTCTCGCCTTACTTTAAAACGTCCAGGCTCAGCGCGCACTTAGTGTACGCATTGAGGAAAATCTCCAAGTCGTTCACACTCCAGATCGTGTGCTTCCAGTTTTCGAGAATGACGGAAAAGTCGTAAAAGAGATTGCGCAACTCTCTCACGCGGTGCAGCGAGGTCGCCAGCGTGAGTATCGAACGCGAGTACGAGCGAAAGCACGACTCCGCCTCCGAGTACGCTTTCGACGTGAGCGCCGATTTCACGCACGCGCAAACCAAGCTCTTGTGCTCCTTCTCTTTGTCGAGCAGAACGCGCAGATCCCGTAAGTCGAGCAGGAATTCCTTATCCATTTCCGTGTCGAAATAGTCCGGACCTGCTAACACCGATGAGTGAGTCAAAACGCTTTCTTGCGAACGAGTACCTGACGAGGTGTACGTCCACTCGTTCATGACCTGCTCGGCGCACCGCTTCAACGCCGGAAACGACAAGCTCTGCAGTTTGCGTTTGGACGTTTCGAACCTTAGGCAGGCCAGGAAGACGATGCACGCGTACTTGCTGGCCAAATCC